TTTCTTCTTTCATTTCAACTTATAACTTTTATCTTTCATTCTTTATATCAATCAAGAGTATCAGCAATACAAAATAAAAAATTAACGAGAACAAACTTCATATGGTCCTTTATCAGCAATTTTTTGAAGCTGTTTGCGTATGCCCGAAAGGGTATGGGTGTGGGTGTGGGTGTGGGGTGGATGTGGGTATGGGGGTGTGTGGGTGTGAGTGTGGGTGGGTGTGGGTGGCATGTGGATATCAACCTTGTGATAACTCAAATCAACACCTAAACCCACTCACATCAACAACCAAACCCACACACACCCACACACGCACACCTCACACCCGTACCTACATCCACACCCACACTCATCCACACACCCATACCCACATCCACACTCACACCCACCCACACCTACACCCACATGAAGTTCCATCTATTTGGAATGCAACAGTTCAGTCAGTTATGGAAAAAAATATTGGTGAGTTTGAATATCGTCGGTGGTCTGACGATGGAATGGATGATTTCGTCAAAACACATAAGCCACAATTTTATAGGAAGACCTATGTAACCTATCCGCATAATATACAGCGTGCCGATGCATTTCGATATGTTCTTCTGTTTCACTTGGATGGTATTTATATTGACATGGACAATGGTTGTAATCGTCCTTTTCGTGACTTACTAGCTAGTCTAGAATCACTTGAACCAAATGCAACTTATTTGGCTGCTTTTCCTTCAGCTGATGGGATGGAGGTTGAAAGTGATTTTTTGATTAGTAGTGCTGGTCATTCTTTATATAGACAAATTATTTCTCGATTACATCTGTTCAATCACTATCATATTTTTCATTTTTGGATTGTCATGTGGTGTACCGATCCAGTGTATGTCTCTATTCAACAACGACTATTCACATCAACGGAACAGGCAGTTGTACGTCTATTGGATCATGGTGTCTATCGGCCTATGTTTATTAGAAAACAAAATGGAGAAACATGGATTGGTCGAGACGCTCATATTCTGTTGTATATCGCTGGCAAGTTGAATGTTATTGTATGGTATTGCAAAATATTTATTATTATTATTGCGGGTGGGTGTGGGGTGTGGGTGTGGGTGTGGATTTGGGTGTGGGTTTGGGTGTGGGTGTGGGTGTGGGTGTGGGTGTGGATGTGGGTGTGGGTGTGGGTGTGGGTGTGGGTGTGGGTGTGGGTGTGGGTGTGGGCGTGAGTGCGGGTGTGAGTGTGAGTGTGGGTGTGAGTGTGGGTGTGGATGTTTCAGTATGGATTAAGATGTGAATGAATCTCGTTGTCATTCTTACTCATTCACCCCTACACTCATACCCGAACGGGAATAAACCACGAGTAGGGCGTTTCGACACGGTTTCAGTAATTCGTGTCTGTTTTCGTCATCAGTCGAATCATTGTAGTGCATAATGTTTCTTTTTTCTTTCACAACAACTTGATTCATTAGTACTTGTTGAAAGGATAATTCCTCAACAAGCAGCAAGAGGAAGATAAGAAGAAAAAAATAGCAAGAAGAAGATTAGAAGAAAAAAGCAGCAAGAGGAAGATCAGAAGAAACATGCAACAGAACAGAATAAAATTCTTCTTGTGAAAAAATCCTTGAGGTGCGTTATTTATTTTCATGTTTCTATAGTCAACAGTTAAGACACAGTCAAAATAAGGTACGTAACTGTTTACCATCATACACGATCAAAATAGAAAAAAGTAATCAATCTTAAACAGATTGTTTTTTACATGTATCATATATTTTAAATCTAGAATCCCACTTGTCTCTTTTTCCTCTTGTCCGCTCTTCTATAAGCTTTTGAATGTTCGATCTTCGGCGTCTTTCTTCTTTCATTTTTATTGGAAACAATGTGTGCTAACATGTATGATGTGTGGAAAAATGACATTCAAAAATAGAATTGTAGTGAAAAGGAAGAAACAAGGAGAAGAGGAAAAAGAGGCAGAGTGGAATATCAATGTTACTTTACTCTCTAGCGTAGCGAATAGCTGAAATGATTTTCTATCTGTAATTGACAATTGTTTTTGTTGTTTTTCTTACAGTTCAGGAACTCGAGTGAAATACGCACGGTCTGTCCTAATAATAAGCAATATGTGTGATTTAGTGGCTGTCAACACCTACATAGTTGATAATTTTAATTTGTAGAAATTCTGTCTTCATCTAAATCAAATATTTTCAGGTAACGTAAAATTAAAGAGATAGCTGTCACGAATTTGTTGGAAAAGAAGGACTGAAGTGAAAAGTATCGAAGGTAAAAAATATCAAAAGTATTATTACTGTAGCTTCAGTGCGCCTATTCTCCAACATTACGTGAATGTTCCGTAGTAGTATCCATGTCTTAAATGTATACATCAATATCGTATTCTCCAAATTGCATCAGAGTCATTTTCAACATTTATTTTATTTCATTCTTTTTATTCTACCAAAGTAATTCATACATTAAAGCGATACTGCTTCTCATGTTCTCTTTTGCGTTTTAGTATTTGAATAACAAAAAATAATGTTATTTTTGTTTGGTTGTTGTTGTGTAGCTTTTTCTTCTTCTTTTATATGACTCATGATGAATTTTTAATAAACATTGAGATGGTGAGTGAGCCACAAAACATATAACGAATACTAAAACTGAATAATGTTTTACTTGCAACCGAATTCAAAATGAGAATGTCAGCCATACTAAATATCTTTATTTTGAAATAGTTAAATATGTACAGGAGACAGTTCTAAAGGATGTGGATGGGTGTGAGTGTAAACCTTCTTTTCACACTCACACTTAAACTCATACCCACATTCTCTCTTTAAGAAATGACTAGGTTTCGTACTCTACCATTTGACACAGTCCAATATTACACATAAAAAGTTTGAAACAAAATAGTCATTGATTTCGTGCTATAATATCACAATAGCATAATCAACTATTACACGCATTGATATTTCCATAAATATAGACGTGTGAGTATGAGTGTGGATTTTCTCTTTGCCCATATCCACACCCACACCCTCATCGTCACCCCTAATGAAGAGCTGAATGAAAATGAGACGTCACTAGTTCTCACAAACGAGAAGAATTTCTGAAAATATAAATCGATTACTAAAATTGTCATGAAAGTTTTTATTTTTATTTTTTGATAAAACAGTTACTAATGTATTTTGTAATTATGCCGTGCAAGAGGCTGCTACTAATAGAAACATAAACAAGAGAATGTTAACAACAGTAGAATCAGCCATCTTTTGCCAAAGCCGTTGTTACAATCTTCATCCTTGAATGTAAACAAAAAAAATGTGCATTAAGAAATGAGAGAGAAAAAATTGTTGTTAACCCATGTCACCACTTTTTAAACAACTGCGTCGCATTTGCGTTCGCATCTACGATGCAGTGAGCGCAGTGCCTGCTAAAGTGTCCACTATTCTCGCAATTGCTGAAAAAATAGCCAATAATAAATAAGCATCTTAATTTTCTAATTCGATGGTTCTTAAACACCAATAATAACGGCCAAATGGAGTATAAAAGGGCACATCTCAAGCATAAGAGCTCATTTCTTTCTTTTTCTATTACCAAGACACCTCATTTAGTTTCTCAAAAAATCAAGGTAAGCATCATGGATACTTTAATAAAATAGTTAGAGTGGAGATTTTTTCACAAACGAAGAGCTTTTTTAAGAAAAGAAAGATTTTTTATAAAGTTTGATCTAAAGTTTTAGGAGTCGAGGAATCCGAATCTGAAATTAGTTTTTCGAAATTTTGAGTTCGATTTTACCACAAAAATTTTTTTGTAAAAAAATATTTGTTTTAATAGAAAAGATTATTTGTAAACCAGTTTGTTTCGTAAATTTTTTTTGCTAAAAAATCACTTTTTCAGAAAAAATATTTTTTTTACGAAAAATTTTGTGGTAAAATCGAACTCAAAATTTCGAAAAGCTGATTTCAGATTCGGATTCCTCGACCCCTAAAACCTTGGATCAAACTTTATAGAAAATCGTTCCTTTCTTAAAAGAGCTCTTCTTTTGTGACAAAATCTCCACTTTAACTACTTTATTAAAGTATCCATGATGCTTTCCTTGATAATTTGAGAGGCTAGATGAAGTGTCTTGATAATAGGAAAAGAATGAAATGAGCTCGTATGCTTGAGTGCGTCTTTTTATATATTTTTTATTTTCTAGATATTAATTTCTTTATTTTTTAGATTTTTATTTTGTTTTTATTTTTTTAAAATTTTTTAAACTTTTCATTCCTTATAAATTGATTTAATTGTTTTAAATTTTTCTTTTTTTTAAACTTTTGTATTTTTAAAATTTTTGTAATTCCTAATTAAAATAGTAATAAAGTGATAACGTTAGCTATGTCGTCTTTCTTAGCAACTGCAATTTTTTTACCGTAACTGCGGTCGCACTGTGATCCGTAACTACGAAAAACTGCAACGCAGTTACGCGGAACTGCATCGCAGTTTTTCACAATTATGGGTCACAGTGCGATCGCAGTGACGGTGTAACTGCGCCGCAGTTTGACCGCAGTCGAACACATGGGAAACGATATTCTTGTTGGAATAAAAGGCCATTTTTCATTGAAGAATATTTCGTTATTTTTTCCAGATTTAACTTTGGTAAAGCATATTTGATTTTTCGTACATAAGTCAAAATCATGGGCTGTGGTTCTTCAACAAATATAGTAAGTCCTCCAAAAGATTCTAGTTCGAGTCATACTGTTATAAAAATACATCCTCATCGCTATCAGCAAACACTTGGAAACGTAGAACAAAATGAACAACATGCACAAATAGAGGATCTTGTGCAGAATTTCTTCCTAGTTTGGCTTGATAATCATTTGGACGAGTCCAAGGAAGATTTTCATAATTCGCTTACGAAATTACAACGAACCATCGACGTCATAGAAAAATTTCGTGATGCCAATGAATGCATCACACATATTTCAAGGAGCAAAAACAAGAAAATTTTTCTGGTCGTATCTGGTAAACTAATCAACGATGTTGTACCATTGATGCATGACAAGTCCCAAATTTATGCAATTTATATATTTTGTTTCGATAAATCAAAATATGAACAATGGACAACAGAAAAATGGCCCAAAGTACGTGGTGTGTTTACAGATATTGACTCGATTTGTGACTCACTTCGGCAAGTAGCACAAGAATGTGATGATGATGATATTAAAATTACTGGCCAAATTGAACCATCATTTATGTATTCAATGTTATTTAAAGAAATTGTTCTTGAAATCCATTTCGATCTGGAGAAAGAAATTTCAGCTCTTACAAAATATGCTCGTCAGATATACAAGGATACACCAGAACAACTTCCAATCATCGATGAATTTGTGCAGCAATATAATGGTAACATCAACAACAGTCCTGTTCGCTGGTATACAGCCGAGTGCTTCACATACAAGATGTTAAACAAAGCACTCGGTCGATTGGATGCTGCTACTCTACTTAAAACAGGTTTCTTTATGCACGACCTTCATCGAAATATCGAAGAACTTCATGAAAAACAAATAAATGATAATGATGCACCATTTCCAAAAACAGTCTTCCGCGGTGAAGTTATGACACAAGAAGATTTCGACAGGAAGGTTCAACAAGGTAGGCTCATATCTTACAATAATTTCTTATCTACCAGTGAAGACAGAGATGTTGCCCTTAATTTCGTCAATCGAAAACTCAAGTCTAACCAAACCAAAATTGGCGTCCTGTTTATTATCACGATCGATTCAACAGTTAAATCAGCTCCATATGCACGAATTTCTGAATTCAGCTTTTCTCCGCACGAAAAAGAAATTCTCTTTTCGACACACTCAGTATTTCGGGTCCGACAGATTCAAGAAACAAAAGAGTGTGGCATGGATATACAACAAGTCAACTTGACACTCACCAGTGAAAAAACTGATAAGGAGCTTAGTGAATTAACAGAAAGTATACGGAAGGACATTGAAGGAAATGGATGGGAACGAATGGGTTTGTTGCTTTGGAAAATAAACCAAAACGATAAGGCTGAAGAAATCTACACGCTGTTGTTACAAGAGGCAACTAGTGATGGAGACAAAGCATATTGCTATAACCAACTTGGATTGATCAAGAGAGACCAAGGAGATTACAAACAAGCGCTGGACTTCTACGAGAAGTCCATCGAAATCAAGCAAACAATTCTACCGAACGATGATCCCAATTTGGCTACTTCCTACAACAACATCGCTCTAGTGTATAAGAACATGGGTGACTACTCAAAAGCACTTGAATTTTACGAAAAAGATCTCGAAATCACGAAAAAAGCTCTGGCTCCGAATAATTCCCATTTGGCTGCTTCCTACAATAACATCGGTGGATTGCATAAGAACATCGGTGACTACTCGAAAGCAGTTGAATTTTACGAAAAAGCACTTCAAATTAGAGAAAAGACTCTGCCTTCGAATCATCCCGATTTGGCTACCTCCTACAACAACATCGGTCAAATGTATAACAACATGGGTGACTACTCCATAGCACTTGAATTTTACGAAAAAGCACTTCAAATTAAAGAAAAAGCTCTACCTCCAAATCATCCCTCATTGGCTGGTAGTCACTTGAATTTTGCAGTATGTTACAAAAGAATGGGTGATTACGCAGCAGCTCTTCAAGCTCTTCAAAATGCTTTTCAAATTCAGCAAAAAGCATTTCAAGAAGGTAATCCAGCTTTTACTTCAACATACAGTTGGTTCGGAAGAGTTTATCGCAGTATGAAAGATTACTCAAAGGCACTGGATTATTTTGAAAAGTGTCTCGCAATAGATTTAAAGACGTTAGCTGAAGGACATCCCTATCAGGCTATTACATATAGTAATATTGGTGATGTTTATCGATTAATGGGTAACTATGAAAAGGCACTTGCATTTCATCAAAAAGCATTAGATATTCAAGAAAATGTTCAATGTAATCCTCTTCAATATGCAACGACATATACAAATTTAGGTGAGACTTATCGAGAAATGGAAGATTATTCAACAGCATTGTCATATTTTCAAAAAGGATCAGAAATACAAGAAAAGAAACTGCCAAAGAGTCATCCTGATTTAGCTGTAATTTATCATAATATGGCAAAATTATATTTATCTACTGGACAATATAATATGGCAATGAAAAATGTTCAACAAGCAATAGGAATAGCTCAAGAAAAATTACATTCAACTCATCCTCATCTTTTGGAATATAAAGAAACATTTGAAGAAATACAAAAGGAAATGTAATTTTTTTTTTCTTCATTGTTCAATAAATTGATTTAAATTGTTATTCAATTTTTTTCTTCTGGTTGTTCTCTGCTGATTTTGGCTTACGCGCGCGCGCGACAAGGGATAGATCCCTTGTTAATGCCATAGGCACCGCAAAGGGGACTGCGCCGGACTGGTAGGACAATGGCCGAAGGTATGCTATATGAACGGAAGGGACCAACGGCACATGGGGGCCTTCCCTAGTACTACACTGGTTCGCTATGACATGAAAGTTCCTCTTCCTATTGAGTCAGACAACGTACCTATCTGACCCACAGTGATAACATTGAAAACTCAACGCATCTCATCTCAAAAGTACTCATACTCATAATAACTGACAGTATTTATTTTTCTCTCGAATAATTATTCTCAACTCAACTCAGTGTATCGCTAACTCTGCATATACATATTTATGCATAGATTTTAGAAATTAATTCCATCCGGAATTTTTTTTAAGACTCAATCTCACATACATTCATGCATGCTTCTGCATATATGAGATAACTTCAACTTAACACTCAACCTTAACTCGAAAAAAAGTGTTGGTAAATATATAAAGACAAGTAATTTACCTTATTTAAAATATAATGATATCATTATCATTGTAACTAATATAATAATAATAATATATAATGTACCCGGGTATGTAAATACATTGTAATATATCATATTCATAAGAATTGAATTTGTTGTTTCGTGATGATACATCGATGTTTTTATATATGCAGTGTTTAATTGATCAATGTTCATAGTTTTGATTGATTTTTTTATTAATCATTCAAATACACGTGAATTGATGTTGTACATATGTGTTAATTGGTATGTACAACAGGTAATACTACATAATTGATTTGATGATCAATTGAATTTATATGTGGTGATATGTTCATGTTTTGTTAGCTTTTTTGTCTCGTCTGACGATATAGATCAATATCATGTCGGCGTCGAAAAAAGAGTACTCATCTTATATATATATGTGTCAGGCACAATTGAACTAAGTTTGAAAACCTTGTTATTTTAACATAATTTTAAAAAAACTAAAGGAAACTTGTTTATTTTTGTAACTGTAGAATTTGGCAGGACATCGAGTTCGTAAGTTGTATTCCATACAAATAAGACTTTATCGCAGCATGGCTGAGTGGTTATATGTGTGTAACACGTATTCACTAGTTATCGAGTTCAAACCTCGGTAACAACAGTCATGTAGTGATCCTGGACAAGTTACTAATGCGCAGTTGTCCCCGATATCTCTACACGTTAATATAGCGAATAAACATTCAATATATATGAGAACCCAACCACGACCTCACCTCCGAGGATTTCGTGCCGGTCGCCAGTCCGGACTGAAAATGAAGCGTTGGACAGAAAGGAGTGCAGATGCCGCTGTTCAGAAAAAGGAAAAAGATGATAGAAACCAACCATGAGCAAAGATAGTAGAAACCCATACCGGCTCGGACGTCGCTCGGGTGAATAAGGTCCGCGTCCTCTGTCGAGTAATCAGGGCAGAGTCGAAAAATTGACTACTGGAAAACCAACAAGGATGAATAATGAGAGAACAGACACACAGAAAGTGAAACTAGTCAAAGAAACACTGACGATTGGAACGTGGAACGTTCAGACATTATGGGCAACTGGAAAACTAGAGTTGCTAAGAAACGAGATGAAGAGGTTCAGGTACGATATAGTAGGTATTTCAGAAGTACGCTGGACAGGCAAAGGCGAAACATCAAATGGAGACTTCATTTGGACAGAAGAAGACAACTCACACGCAAGAGGCGTAGGACTGCTGTTGAGCATGAGAGCTAGAAAAGCACTAATAGGATACAATCCGGTCAGCTCACGAATTATTACAGCTAGATTTAATGCAGCACCATTAAAAATCACAGTAATACATGCATATGCACCAACATCCGCGTCCTTAGGTGACGAAATTGAGGAGTTCTACAGCACGCTCGAGGATGCATTAGCGAAAGTCCACAGGAAAGGCATAGTCATCGTAACAGTTGACTGGAATGCAAAAGTTGGTAGCGATAATACAGACTGGAAACAGGTAATGGGAAGATATGAATATGGCGACAGGAATGAACGAGGAGAGCACCTTCTGGAGTTCGCAACAACACATAATCTATACATCTGCAATACGAGATTCCAGCAGAAACCACAGCGAAAATGGACTTGGGCGTCACCAGATGGCGTGCACAAAAATATGATAGACCTAATCCTCATCCAGAAAAGATGGAAGTCATCAGTCATCAACTGTAGGACATTCCAAAGTGCCGACATCTGCTCAGACCACTCATTAGTACTGTGTAATATAAGATTGCGACTCAAAAAGATCTACAATAAAGTAAACCAATATGTAAGATGCGATGTGAGCCAACTAAAAGATGATAGGATAAGGCAATGTTACAGTAACAAACTAGCAAAAAGTATAGAAAAAATTTAACCAACAAATAGTCTAGACGAGTACGCGAGAATAATAGAAAGTGCTATCAAAGAAGCAGCAGATGCAACAATACCTGCTAGAAAAACAATCAAGAAACCTTGAATATATGAGGAAACATTGGAACTAGCAGATGAAAAATGAAAACTGAAACAGACTAAGGATGATTCACCACAACAGCAGTGCGAAGAAGTCGAAAAGAGCCTAGCAGTCGGAAATACTAGGCAAGCATACAGTCAAATAAAAATGCTAGGAAGGAAATTCGCACATCGAATAAACGTAATACGAGACCAAGATGGCAAAATACTACAGTCCAAGGAAGAAATTACACAAAGATGGGCGAAATATTGTAGTAGCCTATATAAAGATAATGGAGGAGGCGATAACCTGGTGAATGATCTCAACAAAATCACCTCTGAGAATACGGAGAAACCGCCGGACATCTTACACTCCGAAGTAGAGAAAGCCATACGCACATTGAAAAAGAACAAAACTCCTGATCAGATGGAATCACATGGGAAATGCTACAAGCGGGAGGTGAACAGCTAGTACGACAAATCCACAAACTATGCAAGAAAGCGTGGCACGAAGGTACTATTCCAGAAGACTGGGGCAAGTCTATCCTAGTACCAATACTAAAGAAAGATGACCTGAGCGAATGCACAAACTACCGAACGATCTCGCTCATCAACCACACAGGAAAAGTACTGGTGATCGTGCTATTGAATAGGCTCAAGCAACAACTGGAGCCTTACCTCTCAGAAGAACAAGCAGGATTCAGAAAACACAGAAGTACGATACATCAAATCATGACACTCAGACTAATAGCAGAAAAGGCAAAGCAACAAGGAAAGAAGATATACAACTGCTTCATAGACTTTCAAAAAGCATTCGACACAATCAAACACAAAGTGATATGGGCGGTACTAAGGTCATATGGTATAGAAGAGAAGATGGTGACTCTGCTGCAGAATATATATGAAAAAGCTCAGTCAGCAGTGCGAATAGGAAGAAACTATGGGAAATGGTTTCATACAGATATAGGAACTCGACAAGGAGATCCCCCTATCACCGCTACTGTTCATCGCATATCTCGAACGAGTGATGGACCATGTGAAACAAAGTGATTATAGAATTAGTATCAGTGGAACAGGAATGAACAACCTAAGATTTGCAGATGACATCGACCTCATAGATGAAGACTATAGCTCCCTACAGAAACAGTTCGAGGCAACTAGAATAGCCGCAGAACAAGCAGGGCTAATTGTGAACATAGGCAAAACGAAGACAATGGTGTTCGGTGAAAGAAACATAGAACAAGCAATACAAATAGCAGGAAAGACGATAGAAAACGTGGATAAATTCGAGTATCTAGGAAGCCTAATAACATGGGACAACAACTGCTCAGAAGAAATTGGAAGACAAATAGGCAAAGCAACTGGAGCAATGGCATCCCTGAAACACATATGGAATGGAAAGAAACTTACAATATAGAACAAACTCAAGATCCTAGCAACGTGTGTGCTCAGTGTACTACTATACGCCTTAGAAACTTGGTTCCTTAAGGAGACCGACAAAAGAAAGCTACTTGCATTCGAAATGAAATGTTACCGAAGGATATTAAGAATTAGTTGGAAAGACATGATACGAAACGAAGATATAAGGAAGAAGATATCGAAAGAAGAAATGATAGTAGATGTAATAAAGAAACGGAAATTAAAACTATTCGCCCATACCTGTAGAATGAACGATAACCGGCTGATAAAACACGCCATATTCGCAAAAATCGATGGAAAACCTCGAAGAGGACGTCCATGTAGAGAATGGCTGGACGATATCAAAGACTGGTGTGAACCCAATGGACAAGACCTGTTCCACCTGGCGCAAGACCGATGAAAATGGAAGAAGCTGATCAGCACAGTGGTTGGCTCCAACGGGCGACAAGCCTATGGGATATCAAGATCAAGATCAAGAACAAAAGACTTTAATTTATGTCTTCTCATAATATAATAGCAAAGGTATTCACTCGGCAATTAATACTCAATAAATGAATATGTTAGTTTGTGTGTTTTTAAAAATAGTTCATTCTCAGAAGAGATACGATTTTCTCATATGAATATCTTTAAGTAATGATGAAGAGAAAGATTTCAGTAGTTGCTTAGTTCCAGTTTTCGGATATTGTGTTTAATGGCTATTCAATCTCGCAGAACTACTTCTACATCTCCATAGCTATTTAAATATTTATCACCTATTTCATTCACATTACTGATTTTTTCCGAGCAAAGGATAGTGAAGATGCTTATGGGTTGCCACAAATCTGCTAGATAAGTATTTCTCTTATTCAAGATAACGGTTATTAGTCGTTATACTTCACTGGTATGACATCTTCCTGAACTTCTAACCTTCTTTGTTTGTGTTTCCTCATGTGTGACTATTTCTAGATTAGTTGAATTTAATGAAGAGAAGACACAGTTTTGATTGTGCAAGACGACATTATGTTAAAAAGGCATCGATACTCAATCCTACAGTTCACCAC